TCCCGATTAGAGGGGAAGTAGGAAAGTTGATAAAAAAGGTCACTTTTTTGGGGGATTAAAATCCTGCTTTGTGGGGTTGCCCCCCCCAAACGGAAAACGGCCTTCCGCTGCCTTTTTTGGGGTCGTTCTCTGCCTTTTTTGGGGCTTTTCCCTTACGGACGCAAAAAAACGATTTTGGGAAACAGTCTGTGCCCGTTTGATCACCTTGGGCGGAAATTATTCCCCAAACAAGGTCACATTTTTCGCCGCCCCGTCCCAAAAGGGCCCCATGCTAGGTGGCTAAAGCCATTGGTTATAGGTCGTTTACCGCCTCTGCAGACGCAGGGGCGGGTCCAGAACCGATTTTTTACGTTTTGGCCTTTTCCAACAGTTCGGAAAGGTACCCCAAGCTAAGGACCTTCCTCTTGCGTAGCAAAGGCAAGGGCTTATTAGGGAACCCCCAAAAACCAAATTTCAGGGGAGTTTACCGCCTGGTTTTCCAACGATTTTGACTTTAATGGGCCCAAAACACGAAAAATTTGTGCCTTTGGAAACTTTCGGCATTTTATTTCCCAAAAAGGCAGTTCCATGGGCAAAAAAACCCCAAATACCATTGCCTTGGTGGGACTTTGCGGCCTCGGGAAACCCAGGGAGCTTAGTTGGGAAGATACGACACGGACGTTTGTCCTTTTACCAACTTTGGGCGGCTCGTTCCGAACAAGGCAGTTCGTCGCCCTGGTCTCTACCCGCCAACCCGTTAGGGGGACGATTTCCCCCCGGTCGAGAGGGGACAAGAGGGGAAAGACGCGCTTTTCCCAGTGCAGGCCGGGGTTTGCCGGGCATTTAAGCACCCGGCTCGGGTGGCCACCGGGAAAACGCGCGACCCCAGGCACCCACCCAAACCCCCCGGGCGAGTCCCTGCGCGACCCCTTTGGGGTCCCAAGGGGGAAGCCTAGGCAGACTCGACTTTCGACAAACGCAACGTTTTGAGTCGCCATCCTCAAAATGAGACTCGAGTCCGACACATTGAGGGTACCCATGGAATCCTGCTTCAAAGGGAAGTCCTGGTACCCTCGTGAGTTGGACTCAGGGGGTGTCTTGTCCTTCTCGCGGAGTGCGCCGCCGAGCAGACGACGCGCGTCGTGCGGCCGTCCGGCACACCGCTAGCGAATCGTCGAGCTCGGCGCGAGGCTCGGCCAAGCTCCAGCCGCGAGAGCCACCGCGTGAATATTCATGACGCTCATAATTCGTGCCCCGTGTGCCATCCCCGCGCGCCACGCCCCGCCGCACCCCGCCCCACCCCGCCACGCCGAGGATAAGTTTGTCCATGCAGCGGGCGCATACCAAGTGACAGTCGGTGTGACGTCATCGACGCACGTGCTTCCCGTCGGACACACCCCGGACACGCACTGTCCAAACTCATGGCTAGTTTTATCGTCCTCGTAATTTGGCCTTTTAGGGCTGCTGAAACTAGTAGTAATTTAACTACTGCTTGGCTGAATGATAAGAGATTTTTTGGGGGGTTAGCTGAATGGAATGGCTAGTTTAGCAGCTTGAGCTGGACAGACAGACAGACAGACAGACAGACGGACGGACAGACGGTCCACACGCTGCGTGCATGTCATTACGAATTATCCATGTTTGCAGTCCTCGCCGGGATTTATGAAGGAGTCCCTGCAGACAACGTTATAACAGCGAGCACACGCGAAGAGCAACGGCAAGCGACGACGAGTGCAACAAATTAAAAGCATCAAAAACTTCTCTTCCTCTCCACACCTCTCACTCTCTCTCGCACTCGCCCTGCTCTTCTCTCTCTTTTTCTGCAGTTGAATGACCAATCAGATCGTGTGTGCTGTCTGGTTTCTGCCGTTGCCCTGCGGGCGAATCCCCCCCCCCACACACACACACACTCACACGCACACGTCAACGTCTGTCCGACCAATGCCGAAATTCGCGCGGAAATTCGTTTTCCGTGGCCGATGATGAATCATCCCGCAATCGGCGCACGCGATCGCCGCATCCTCCGAGATGATGGACGATTTAGGCCCCGCCCCGCCCCGCCCCGCCCCGCTACATTGTCACGCGACGCCCAGGAGCACGCGCTGCATGCAGCGGCCGGGACGCACTGCGCGGCCATGGCGCGGCCGCAGCGATAGCGGCGGAGGATTCTGGGGATACAACCGGATGCCAGATAGCAGGATCAGTCCGCGGGACGGACAAAGGCCGAGATGACGCCACGGCCGCGTCTGTCTGTCTGTCTGTCTGTCTGTCTGTCTGTCTGTCTGTCTGTCTGTCTGTCCGTCTGCAACGACCAGACAGCAGCGCTCCGGAGTGCGGCGGGTCTGCCTACCCCGCATTACCATTACCACTACGGGCTAGAGCACAATTGATCGTACACCGTTTCGGGCCCGACACATGCCCGCCTGCACTGCACTGCAAACCGAGGCTGCCGCAGGCGCCTCGCCCTCACCCCCACTGTAAGAAACAACACATCATCGCGCACCTGGCCAGCAAGGTGAGCCCGAGGGCCCCTCACGTGGAGGCGGCCGGGGCGGACGGCCGATAGGGAGGGGCGGGTGGCCGATAGTGCTGCGAGGGCAGTGCACAGTGCAGGTCCTGGCCGACCTGCAAGTCACCCACACTGCCACGCTGCCTCGCACACTGGCGCGGCCAAACAGTCGGGGCGAGGCGGGCGGGTTGCCTACTCACCCGCGAAGTGCTACGCGGTGCTACGCGGTGTGCGGCGCTCCAGCAATGCGGACGCGGCGCGCACTTTCGTTCGTTGAACGATGCCAGTCCACTCGTGCGTGCTTCTGGCCGATATAAAAGAGAAAACGCCGTCCCTTTTTTTTCCCACCGGTTCCTGCAGGGGACATCCGTCGTCGTGGACGTGGGTTCGACTCCCGCCCGCGGCGTGCCCGCGGCGACGCGCTGCCTCCTGTCGTCGCCCTGGGCCTGCTCGACCAGCGCGAGGAGCGCGCCACGCCCCGCCGCCCCGCGGCCAGGCAAGGCAGTGCGCCACGCTCCGCCACCCAGGAGGCCCGGGAGCTGTCCACGCGGAGCCACGCACAGCGCGGCGTGGGGCACTATTACGAGGCTAACGAGACGGCGCTATCCAAACCAAATTCCATTCAAGAACGAAACGAGTCCGACACGACAGCCGCCTGTCGGACGCTTGACGGGCTCCTGATGTGGCGGGGCGGGGCGGTGCTGCCCGGCCAAGTGCAAGTACGGCGCCGCGCCGCTGAAGGTCGCGGGCCGCGGGGCGGGGCGGCGCCGCGCGAGGTAGGTCGGCCCGGGCCCGCCTGCGGCCCCGCGCCGCCACGCCGCGCCACGCCGCGCCACGCCCCGGGTACCGCATCGATCAGCTGATTCAGGCTCCGGGAGGTGGCGGAGTGGGGGGCCGCTCGGCAGAGCAGCTCTGACTCCGGCCTGGCCAGGCTGAGCCGCGCCGCCAGCGCTCGCCACCCGCACTCCGCTCCGCTCCGCCCTGCTGCCCGGCCACCCTGCCCTGCCCAACGGGGCGGGGTGGCCGCGGTGGGGCCGCCCCTAGGACTGGGCAAGCACTGCTGAATTATTAGTGGCGCGGCGATGGGCCTCGCCCCAGGTGCCCGAGCAGCCCGAGCAGGCCGTCGAGCAGGTGGAGGCTGCGCCCTGGCCGCGTTGCCCGGAAGGGAGGGCCGGAAGGGGTGTTTGCAACGGCTCTGCATATTGCACGCCATCGGCGTGACCCTGCTCCTCTCCTCGTACTACACGCATCGGAGTGCAAACGCTGGCTCAGCGGAAAACGCAACGAGAGCTGTTCTGTTCGGAACGACGATGGCGACGCGGGCATGGCGGCGGTGACGCTTATCGCCGTCCTTTCCTCCAGCCCGGCTCTCCCCGCGGGCTCGGCCGGCTTATGATAACATTTTATTATTTTAGCCTCAGCCTGGCCGCCCGGCTATGTCGTCACGCCTTCACTTCCTCCCCTCGTCGGAGACCGTCGAGAGGACGCCCGGCGCGCCACGAACGACCCCCGTCACAATATTGTGTTTGTTACGCCTCACGCGTCGGCCCGCGTCGTCAGCCCGGAGTTTACTTTGAGCAGACACCATTGTGAGCGCACGGCGCAGGACCAAATAATATGGCTGTACACCATTCCGCCCCTCCCCCCCCTCCCCCTTCGCGCTCCTGCTCCTCCACGACGGGCTTCACCACCACCAGGAGGCTTGCTGGGAAACGTGCACCGCGGCAGCTGTGCTCGCCGCAGCACCGCAGCCTCACTTCTAATTTTAGTCCTGGACGGGCTTTGACAGTGAGACGCATGAGCACTTGATTCCCCGGAGAGGAGGCAAGCCGCGGTGCGAACGGAGGCAGCGACCAGAGCGCGCTCTGCGGCGGCGCGGCGGCAGCCAATCGAGCCACCAGCATCAGCCCCGCTTGAGCAGCGCGAGCGCGCGGCCCATTTGTCACAAAGGGGACTTTGATTCACTCTAGGCGTGATTGGCTTATTGCTACATTGATACGCCCGGCCGCCAGGCCCGGCCTGCTTCCAACAATCTCGCGGCGCTGCCTGCGGCTGCGTGTCTGCCAGTGGGGCGGACGGGCGAACAGCTGCCGCGCTGCGAGGCGGCAAGCGGCCAGCCAGGCGGCCAGCCAGGCCGGCAACACGCGGCACGCCGAGCACGCGGCAGTGTGGCGGCCAGGCACAGACACAACAAGCGGCGGACGGCGCGGGACTGTACACTGTGTGTCCTGCCCGTCGCAGAGACAGACACTTGGACACTTGCACCGCGTCGGACAGTGTCGTGAACTTAAGCGCGATGACAGCGCAGCACGCCGCGTTGCGTGGCCGTCTCGCCGCCTCGCCGCGGGACGCCCGCACCCCATCCCAGCACCCCATCGCGGAGAGAGACAGGCAGTCATCAACGCTGAAACGAGGGCCGTTTCGCGCCAATTCCCGGCCGGCCCGGAGGACTCAGCGAGGAGCCGCCTTGCCTTCAACGCAACCGTCCCCGACGACACCCCTTGACACTGACCTTGGTCGCTGGCGGCGGTTTAATCCACTTGACGACGCGCAGGCTGCGTAGCGCACCGCATGCACCCAGCGCACTCACTTCACTGACACAAAACACACACTCGGCCGGTTATCACTTCGTTATCACTTCGTGAGGACTCGGCGAGGGACCCGCCGTGGCGGCCTTGGCGGTCGCTTCACTTGTTCGGGGGGCGCGTGAGCTCGGCCGTCACTGCGACGCCGGGGGCCATGTCGTCGACCAGGGTGTCATGCTCGGTGACCGGCGCGCGGCGCGGGTGGTTACGCCTCCGAGAGGCAGGCGGTGCGACGGGGAGGTCGTACGTGCGTGCGTTTGCTGGCGCGGTCTTAGACCGACTGGCAGAGGCTGTGCGCTGCGTCGGCTGGCTGGCTAGCGCGCCGGGCCCCACTGAGTCACTCCGCGGCGGCCGGGGTGGGGGCCTCGCCCGCCTCGCCCGCCTCGCCCGCCTCGCCTCACTCGCCACTCGCCGCCCCCTCCAAAGCCATCCCCGCCGTCGCCCCGTCCCGTCCCGCTCCACTTGCGGTGCACTGGCGGCCGATAAGCGGGATTCAACAGTGACGGCGACATCGCGGCAGCGCGGGGGTGCGGCCCGGTGTGATAACGCCCCTCGGGGCGCCTACCTATCGCCCTGTCTCTCTCACACCCTTGCAGTGTGCCTATGAGTCGGAATCAGCCTATCATCCGGTCACGGACATAGGGTACTTTCAAGGTTCAAGGTTCGAGCAGGATGAGGGGGCACTAAGGGCCTGCATGAGGACAGCCTTCTAGGACTCCAGGGCACGCCCGCGAGGTTAGCTCCGTAGGCGCTGTGGCTGGGCTGGCTGGGCTGGCGCGCAGCGCTCTATGACTGACGGATCATGCATGCGGCATCACGGCGCGCCCGGCCTGACCCCGTCGACGGCGTCCTTGGCGGCCCCGGCTGGTGATCCGGAGCCACTTTGTCATCATCACCATCATTGTCGTGGCCGCCGATGGCCGGCCGGCCTGGCTGCCCGCGCCGCGCCGCACTGGCACTGTAAGACCACTCCGATGCGTTCCCGCCACAGGGAGTGGCGCGGCCTTCCCGGCCTCCCCGGCGCGGCGCGGTGTGGGTGCAGCCCGTGCTGCCTGTATACAGTGCGACACATGTCGGCGCCCTGGGTGTTCTTCTAGGCGGGGCGGGGCGCTGCCGTGCGCGAGTCCGGCACGCGGGGCGCGGCGCCAAACTCGGCGGCGAGTCGAGGGCAGCGCGGCAGCATGGCGCCGCAAAGCGGTATTCGAATGTGTCATTTCGTTTCGTGTCTGAGTATGGAGCAGCAGCTGTGGCACGGCCGGTACGGCGGCACGCCACTACAGTGGCAAGGCTTTGGCGAGGCAGGCGCCGCGTGGACTGGACGCCGAGCCGGGGGGCCGGCTACAGTCGCAAAATAATGCCAGTCGGCTGATTCATTGATTTGTCTCTGTCGCACTGTTGGGGCCCGGAATAGCCCGTAATGGCAATGGTAATGGGGCGCCCGGCGGGTAGGCTGTCCCGTCGAGCACGCGTGTTCACCGGGACTGCCTGCCGGCAGGCGCCTTTGCCCCTTGCGGCGGAGGCTGGGTAGGCAGTCCCGTGAAGCAGCGCGGTCGGCGGGACTGCCTGCCGGCAGGCGCCTTTGCCCCTTGCGGCGGAGGCTGGGTAGGCAGTCCCGTGAAGCAGCGCGGTCGGCGGGACTGCCTACCTGCCGGGCGCTTTGTGCGCGCACTCGGCCGCCGCCCGCCAGCAGGCTCTGTCTCTCTCGCACTCACGGGGCGCAGGGCGAGACAGAGCGACGAACGCGCTGTGCGGAATGCGCCTGCAGGCGCAGGCCCTTCGGGGAGAAACCGATGCCGCGGGGGACGTCGAACGGGGCGGGGCGGGGCGGGGCGGGGCGCCCTTGTGGTGTTTTCGGCGGAAGAGGGCCGGGCCCTCGGCCGGGCCGCTGATTAGAGAAAGCACTGGCGGTCTGAGCAAACTGCCGCCGAAGCCGTGTCCGTCTTGGTCCGACTAGGTTTGCCTTGACCGGACGTCCCTCCCACTTGCCACTTCCGGTCGGCATCGCGGCCGAGCGGCGACGTGTGGCGGGAAAAAATAAAGTACCCGACGCGCCGCGATGCCAAGTGAGTCCGCTCTGTTCCCGGGAACACGAGACCGCGGAGCGAGACCTGTAGGCGCGGTGGCGGCCGTCAAGGGTGCTGCTGGGTGCCCATGCCCGTGTACGGCGGAGCGGAGTCGCGCCCCGCCCCGCCCCGCCCCGCCCCGCCCCGCCCCGCCGTGCCGCGAATCAAAACCAAAGTGCAGCCGACTTCCGCGTCGAGTGCCATCGAGCGAAACACAAACAAATACGCCTCGACGGTCATGTCGGTCTGTCGGCTGCCCTCGAGGCTGCCCGCTGCAGCAGCCGCGGCGAAAGGACGCCGTCGGCGTGCCCTCAGCCAGCGCGGTGGAGATGGAGATGAGCGCGATCTTAGCGCCCTAGGCTGGCTTACGGGACGCCCCATGAGTGCGACGGAGAGAGAGAGAGAGAGCGACGAAGCCAGTCTTCAGAGCAAGGCCTTACTCAGGAAGCAGCGGCGGTATGGTCACACCTCGAGGCGCCTAGCTGTGCCCAGGCTGTGCCTAACCGGCAGCGTGTCTGCCTCTGTTTTGGGCGGCAAGGCGGCTCGGGAGGGGAAGTCCCAAGTCCCAACTCGGAGCGGAAACGCTTGTATGGCTGGCCCGGCCCGGCCGCCCGGCCTGTCGTTGTGGTTGCTGCTGGTTCCAAGGGGTCGCTATGGAACCCTGGAACGACGAGGGCACATCGAAACCCCGTTATTTCTTCACACATTTTCGACTGATTAGCTCAATTCGGTTCAATACTGTCGCGTCAAGAACCCGCTTCCCCGCGCGTCGCTCATGAGCTGAAAGCGGAAAGACGTCCGACCCCGACAATAGAATCCGGGGATCGATTGCATTCTGTCCCATTTTTCGACTGGCTTCCCCCCACGAGCGACTCCGGCTCGCCGCGAGGCCATGGCGCTGGCCGTTGGCAGCGATTACGCTCCTTGAAGCAGGGCTTTGCCCTGGCCGCTGCCCTGGCCCTGCCCTTCCAGCGTCGCGCCGCGTCGCGTCAGTGCGTTTGTGTTTGTGCCACCACCTCGCTCAACTTGGGGCGCCATACAAGGCGTGGGGCCTTCCCCCCCCCCCTCTTTCCTCTGCACCGAGGCAAGGCAGGCCGTCTCCCGCGGATTCGCACTCCACGTCCATGCAAGACCACACGGGGTGCATGCACTCTTTCTTTCCGCCTGTGTGTGTCTGGCGAATAAAGGCTGAGCTAGACTGAGCATGCCCCCTTCGTTTCAAAGGTTCATGACTGGGTCGGGCTCGGAAGGTCTTTATCAAAGGCTTGTTCACTGTTCGCGCCCTTGTATTCTGTCTTGCGACGGGGCCAGATGGTCCAAACTGACCCCTCCCGCCCCCATGCCCCCACCCCCTCACTCCAGCTCGCTCGACCTTGACCGCCCGCGGATGGGTTGACTTAAGAGTCGGGGAGTGAGTACCCCGTGCTGCGCTCCCTGGGCTTCTGGTACCCCCCCCCCCCCTCCTTTCCAGGTCCCGAGTCTTCCCGTTTAGGAACTCGTCCTTGTCACTGACTCCCCCTCCCGCACTCCGATCTATATCCAGCCCCAGCTGTCCGGGCCGCTCCCGCTCCAGCACGCTCCAGCACGCTCCAGCAGCGGGCAGACAGGTGCAGTGAACCCGAGTGAACCGCAGTCGCCGAGTGGAGGACGCCCTTCCGCGTGAGAGAGAGAGAGACGATTTCTTTGCCCGAAACGTGTCGGTGTTCGCCACACGCCCGTGCTCCATAAAAATGGGGCTGAAAATTGGTTGATCAGGGGAAATAATAGCAAAGGCAACTTTTAAATTCTCTTAGACTTTATTTTCCTTAGCTTAACTACAAGTGGACCTCCCACTCAAAAGCAATAGTAGGTACTTGGTTAATTCAGTAAATAATATATAACTCCTTGAGGAGCACAAATTTTCTACAATTCATCAATACATTTAAAACTTAAGATTAAATACAATTTTGAAGTTTACACAGTTTTTTTAAATAGCAAATGAAAATTGATAGCCTGAAGTAAAAGAAGGTGCGTAGAATGGAACAGCTCACCAGCCAGGAGTGGTGTTTGCCAACCGCCGCATACGCCTGAAAATTAAGCATTCAATTTAATTTCATATTGCTCTTCCTCAAGAAATGTGCTTACTTGATAAATAAAGATGTTTCATATACCTTGTATTCCTGTCTTGATCTCGTATTTTCTTTTCCATTTCAGCATCTGTCAAGGTTTCAAGGAATGGGGCCCATTGATCGGATTCTGATGGCGGTCTGAAGGGAACTTCCACGGTAGGAAGGGGAGTTTCACTAAAAACAGGAGGGAAAAGGAGGAAAATTAGCACACCTAAATTAAAATTGGTTTTGTTCAGAAAGAAAAAGGGATGTGAGAATAAGCATTCACCTGAACGCATAGGTACGTTGGTGCCATGCCAATTGACCTCTAATACTGTAAGCAATAGCAGTCACAAATTCACCGCCTAGGCCTAATTCTGCACATAACTTCATGGCAAAAGTTTCTGGATTGTTTTCCTTCTCTGTCATGTCCCATTCAACTTGGTCTACTAGAGATGTATTGCCAACATGAATGTTCAGCTGCAAAATAAAATGAGAAGTCAGCACCATGTCTATAGTCCAACATTTCAGAAAATATGATGGTTTGAAATTTACCTTAACAATAACTCTTTGATCTTGACTCTCTTCGAGTGTAGTGCCTTCACTGGGAAAACTGTCTACCTGCCCGCGAATGGCTTGAGCAATTGCAGGAATAAAGGTGATTGGGTTCAGATCCAGGTCATCACAAAGAACTTCTGCAAACTGCTCTGGAGTAATCAGAGTTTCTGAAAAAAAAAAAAAAAAAAACAAACCATTTATAGTACTTAGGATACAACACAAAAACAACATGGGGATTGAGCAATAAGTAACAAATTCACTGTTGCACATTTTCTCACCATTTTTGTTCCATGTAAATGTGTCACGTAACTTTTGTCCTTCAATTTCCATATCCAAACGAATTGGGACCAAAGTCTCAACTTGACTGGCATTTTCAACTATGACACTTGGATCAGTGTCATCAAAACTGAAATGAAAAAATGAAGAGAGTCAGAGGTTCAGAAAAATATGTCTTGATAATGAAGGGAGCAGCACACCAACCAGAGGGGGAAGGTGCGCACTTTCTTCAGATTGACACGATTCCGATTAATTGGAGTGGCTTGCGGCACAGCATCTAAGTGAGAACTGTTGGGCACAGATGGAACCCATGGCACACTCTTCTTAGGTTTGACTTCCCTGATGAACAAAGCAGACAAAATGTGTTACTTGTGAAGAGCAGACATCTTTTAATTTTGAGAAAGTTTCATACAGACAAAATTTTACCTGGGAGCAGGAGGCTCTGAATGTACAGAAACTGCTTTATATTTTTCATCATTGCCTTCTATAATATCTTCTACTTCAGAAGCTTTCAGCAAGGACACACTCGATGCAAGACAGTGTTGACTTAACCCTGGAAAAGAAAACACAGTATAGATGAGTGCATTAACAGAGAGGTGCGGAGAAGTCAGTTTGGTTCTCTCCAAATCAGCGATGCTCACCTAGCTCAAGTAGTTTCTTCCGTTCGTCATTGTTGATGGCTCTCCTGAACATGCCAGGGTACTTCTTATAGAGAGAACCTCGGAACAGCCGAAGGTAGTTTCCCACCTGGTTAGTAAAGAGAAAGTTGATTTGTAAACAACATGGACAAAATACGGATGTTCGATTACCAGTACCGGTGTTTTGACAAGGAGCACCAAGGGTGGGAAGGGGAGGGGGGTGATTATCTCCGGCCGACATTCATTTAACCACTCAACTTCGGCTCACAGAAAAGTGACGTTGGGGGCCCTGTGTGCGAATCATTGATCGCGTTCGGGCACATAACATTCAAAGAAGAGTTTCGAGAATATTTTGTCGCAGAAGACACAAGCGGTTGACGAAAGAGAGGTTAGGAGATCTCAAATTCATGTCCCCCGCACGCTAAGACTACAATTCAAGTGAAAACTCGCTGAAAAAATGATACTATGATTTGATGGCATTACCTCCGACCCAATACAGTAGTATTCTCCATTTTCTTCGAGCTGAAAGCTAAGAGGCTTGTCGCCGTACGTCCGAATCGCCATTTTGGAAGCGTTGTTTTGATTTGACTTGAGCGTTCTACGTCGCACAAGGCAGATATGGAACGGAAGGCATTTCTCCGCAGAGCACGAGAGCAGCGCATGCGCTTAATGAACCGCCAATTTCGAATCGGACAGAAGCGTGGGAGGGGAGCGACACAAAACCGGAGGATAATTTTATATACTTTATTGATGTTTTAATGGCAAAACAAGAGTTATATGCAACAAAATGCATTGGCCATATGATTTTTTTTTGCTTTCATTTTTTTCCAAGACAATTGTTACATGAGATACATTCTTACTATCAAGAGAAAAATGTAAGATTTTGACAGATTGTTTCAAGCTTGTTAGATAGTGCAAAGAAGTCTGAAATCAGAAGTTACAAAGTCAAGCAGACAATATGATTGCTTTAACAATTGATTACGGCTAAATCACACACACATTTTATTTTGAACAAATGTAACCTGCTGCTGTTGAATGATCACAACAACATTTACACACATTTTGCTATAAATTTGCTATAAGAATTTACATAAGAGGAAGACCTGCCTGGTCACTAATGGGTCCAAGGTTTTATCATATCATTGAGGGTATTAGCCCACTACAACACAGATATCTCACATAATGTTTCATTGTTTTCAATTCAAGTAATAAAACAGAAAAAGTTTAAATGGAATCACTCATTGTTAAGCACTTGTAATGGTTTTGTAACACTGTACTTTCTGACACTACCATCTCTACATGCTGTATAAATGGCATGCCCATCACTAGAAATGTCATAAATGGGGTCATATTCTGGCCCTGTTAATAACAGGCGCTTTGGTGACTCATTGGAATCTTTAAAAGGTAGATAGGTGCAAGTGCCATCAGACCGACCCACAAAGATTCCATCAGAATGGCACAATAGACTCAGGGCTGCGCTATTAGATTCATACCAAGCACATATTGGTTTGTCTAGATTTGCAGGGTTGAATAAGAAAACTTGTCCATCCTGACAACCCACAGCGACAGTTTCTTCATTCACTGGAGCAAGGCAGTTAATTGCAGATAAGAGAGCTTTTTTGCTGAGAGTATTACGACTACGAACAGCAATGGAGGCAAGGACACCATCTTCACAGCCAACAATCAAAACCTTGTCTTCAGTTCCAATTTCCCGATCACCTGAAGACAGAAGTAAAAAAAATAAATCCATAAGAAAGCTTTTTATGACTGACAAAATGAAGTCGATTTATTTGCCGGTGAATAAATGAAAACTTACTTGGGGATTCATTTGGTTCACCTAATGGCACTTTGTTGCTAACTGAAGTAATAGCACAACAATTTATGACTGATGGCAATTCAATTAAAATACCCAGACAAGCAGATTTACCACAGTCCCACAGACGCGCTGTCCCATCTCTGCAAAAGAATTAGAATTATGTTTCTTGATCAACATACCTTATTCCTTCCTTTAAGTTATTTTCATAACATTTTAAAGAAAACAAGGTGAAAGACAAGTAACTTACTTAGACACTGATACGACATTTCTGCCACGATCAACAATAGCAACATCCATGATGGACCCTGTGTGACCACGCAAAGTAACAGGACATTGACCAGTTTCTGCTGACCAGATTTTGAGTTGCATATCAGCTCCCCCAGAGATGACAACAACCCCTGAAGGGAAGAAGCGGCACTGATAAACATCACAGGGATGGTCAGAAAACGACCTCTGAAAAAAATTTAAATAAATCATTGAGAACATGGACAGGAGAAGGCTTTTCTGTAAAAAGTTCATTGCTCATACACTTACACAGACTACTCCCGTTTTGGTGTCCCAAACATTTAACTGATTGTTGGTACAAGCTGACACAGCTAGGCCTCCAGGAGTTGTATGCAGGGACACAATCTAAAGAGAGGATTCAGAAAATTAAATAAATTCATCATTCTTAGTATTTAAATCAGAAATTATAGTTGATACTGACGCTTTTCTTGTGGATTCCAGTAAACTGCGAGCCTGGAGCAACAAACAATGTGCGGCAATTGGATTTTAAGTGCAGTACAGAAATCCCACGAGCATCAGAAACCCACTTCGCTGAGAAGCCTTCAGATGAGGAGACTGAGTCCTTAGATCCACCACTTATTATTTTTCCATTAAAGCTATTTTCACCTGTTAAAAATATGCAGATTCTTCAATTAGCATTCAACTAAAATAAAAACTTAAAAAGAGTGAGGAAATATAAAGACTCTCACCTCGGAATTTACATGATACCCAGATTTCACAGTTCTTATTCCTGTTCAAAAAACAACAAGACTCTGAGAGACAGCAAAACAAAAGCAAATGTAAAGGAGGGCAGTAAAAGTCACTGTCACTGTGACATGAACAAAATAACAAATAAACAAACAAATGAAATTGCTGCTAATGAGCGAGCAGAAAACAGCCGGTAAAAGGGCATAAAAGCATAACGGAAGAACATACTTTTGAAATAATATCGATCAGAGTAAACAAAAACAAACACATAACCAAAAGAACACTCTTGGGCAATTACCTAATTAAATCATCCCAGTTGCACTGAATGTTTAGTACTGGCGCTGATCTACAGTCATATTCTTTCGAGCTCATGATTATGTCGGGCAAATAAAAAATGATTACTGCAACTAAAAGCAAGTTTTCTACTTCTGGCTAGTCAGGGCAACAAGCTTTCTGCTGCTGCTCAAACCTAAGCTTGCTGAAAACAAAACAAAGAAGAAGAAGACAGCTGTCTGGCAGCTGTCCTTCCTGGAAGGCGGTGCGTTGCCCTAACTGAACACGGAACAGCGAACTCGGGCGCTTCTGCTCTAAACAAAACAATGGCTAATGATTAAAGATACACATTATTTAAATTTCTTGACATAACTGGTGCATATATTCGTTGTGAACGTAATATTTCCGTTGTGCAGTACATACTGAAAACTTCAGCACCAAATCATTGTCAACGCCCTTGAAGAGAAAAGTTGACAACGAAACTTCAAATTCACTCAGTTTTGATTTTTAATTCGAGATGTCAGTCTGCTATTTAATTCGCAAAGCATCCCTTCGGATCAGGCTATTCCAATACTCTCCTTTCACTCGTCTGTACTGTCATGCTGCCAATGAGTCTGAATGGGTAAGCGTGCATTTCAAGGTTATTGCCGGCAATGCAGTACAAACAATGTTTACCTCAAGTGTTTGCCATTGTTTCATAAGCATATGTTTTATCCATTTTTAATTTTCTGGAAATTTTCTGTTACCAGTTTTTGTTTTGGAACACAGCTCTACCCTAAGTGACTTAATTTCTTATTTCAGGATCCTCAACCGTGGCTTAGTTTGGACATGAAACATAAAATTGAAAGTAAATGGAAACAACATGTTGATAGTTTCGGCCTAACAGATAATGATTCCTGCCCTACCACGTACATTCTGTCGATGTTCCCATACCCCTCTGGAAATCTTCACATGGGCCATGTTCGAGTTTATACCATTAGCGACACTTTAGCCAGATTTTATCGAATGCTCGGGCACAATGCAAGTACAAAAACTGGAGGGGAAAAAACATATTTTTAAATTATATTTTGTACAGTGTGACAAAGTCAATCAATATTATCCTTTTCTAAACAGGTGTTACACCCGATGGGTTGGGATGCCTTTGGTCTCCCTGCAGAAAATGCTGCTTTGCAAAGTGGTAAGGATCCTGCTATTTGGACAGAGAATAACATCAACACTATGAAGTCACAGCTCAAGCAGCTAGGGTGTAGTTTTGATTGGGATCGCGAATTTGCAACTTGTCATCCTGAGTACTACAAGTGGACACAGTACATATTTCTTCAAATGTACAAGGCTGGCCTCATTTACCGTAAACCTGTAAGTTTTATGAAGAAATAAGTCTTAGCAGCACTTCAAACAAATGTTTATTTTCTTACGTGCATAATCTTCTTTTCCAGTCATTAGTGAACTGGGATCCTGTTGACAAAACTGTTTTAGCTGATGAGCAAGTTGATGAAAGTGGCAACTCGTGGCGATCAGGGGCCAAAGTTGAAAAGATACTTCTGACGCAGTGGTTTGTGAGGGCTACTAAATTTTCATCGTGAGTTCATTAAGTAATTTTGATGCTTGCCAGAAGTAAGGATTAAGGAGCTTTTGTCATTGGTTCTCTTATTTATTTTCTGAGTGCTTTATTTTTGACAGAAATCTTCTCCAAGAGCTATCGAATTTTCAGACAGAGGACTGGTCAGAAATAGTGAATCTTCAAAAATCCTGGATAGGGGATGTCAATGGTGTCAGTTTTGATTGGATTGTGGAAGGCAAACTGAATTCCGTAGTCACACTTCCAGTCTGGACTAATAAACCAGAAGATGTTCATGACGTTGGGTTCATTGCTATTCAGCCTGGAAGTATGTTGGATGTCATGCAAGTATGTCTAATTTTTTATTATCTTTGACAAGTTAAAAAAGTTACAGGAGTAACTGTTTAAAAAAATTAATTTTTGGTAGGGTACAAAAACTCCACAAGAATACCAATTTACAACTGCAGATGGAAATGAAGAAACATTTAAAGCTGCTCGCCTTGATTTTGATGCATGTAATCCATTCTCTCAAGAAAAAGTACCAATCTATGTTGTTGATGGCATCTTGCCCTTCCCTGATGGTTCCAGCTCATACATGGGCGTTCCATCTAAAAATCACATTGATTCCATTTTTGCAAAGTGTCTCAGACTTCCAGTGCGTGTTGGCAGCTCAAAGATTGAGGTTTGCAATGTCTTGATTTACAGCTGTTCTTAAACTCCCTATATAAGCAATAAGTTTACAGATGCTACTCTTTTTATTTCTTCAGGATTCCTCAGTCGAAAGTATTTGTAAAAAAGCTCAAAAAATGGGCTTTGGTGGGTTTCAGACTAGCTCAAAACTTAAAGATTGGTTAATATCACGGCAACGATATTGGGGGACACCCATCCCCATAGTTCATTGCAGTGAATGTGGGACTGTTCCTGTCCCTGAAGAACTACTCCCTGTGAAGCTGCCTCCTTTTCCTTCTAAACGAGAAAACTGCGACCATGTCGCCTCTCCCCTTTCACAAGCAGAAGAATGGGTGAATACCACCTGCCCAAGGCAAGTATTGAATATACTGATGTTAGTAAATAGAGCTGGTCTTGATAGAAATTTTTAATTATTTTGCAGGTGTGGTGGGTTAGCCACTAGGGAAACAGATACTATGGATACGTTTGTAGATTCTTCTTGGTATTACTTACGTTTCATAGATCCTTTTAATGAAAATCAAATTGTTAGCTCAGAGAAAGCAAAAAAGTTCATGCCAGTCAGTGTCTACATAGGAGGAAAAGAACATGGTAAGTAATATGAAAAAAAAAGAAGTATCTGTCTAAATAATATTGCCTTCACTCTTATATTTTTTCAATATTGTTTTATTCCAAGAGTGCTGAAAATTTTTCTATGCTTACAGCTACTCTTCACTATACTATGCCAGAATAGTGTCTCATTTCCTTTATCAACTAGGAATAGCTCCTTGCCCTGAACCATTTCAGCGTCTGCTTGTGCAAGGAATGGTAATGGGACAAACATTTCTTGAAGAAAGCACAGGTCGTTTTTTAAAACGCAGTGAAGTTGATTTTCAAGGTGTGTGTGGTTCAAAACATTTTTCCACTTCATCAATTTGCATTAAGTTTAAAATGATGACTTGTTATTGCAGGGAAGTCTCCTTTTTGTAAAGCAACAGGTAAACCAGTGGTAGTGAAGTGGGACAAGATGTCCAAGTCAAAGCACAATGGTGTAGACCCTGCAGATGCTGTCGGTTCCTTTGGGGTTGACTCTACCCGTCTCCTTATGCTGGCTGATGCAGCTCCTTTTTCACAAAGAAATTGGGATCCTGAAGGTGACATAAATTTTCCTATATTTTGTGGTTTCCAAGTAAGTCAGTATTGTAAAAAAGATTTTTTTTTTGCCATCAAGGTTCTAAAGGAGTTTTTAACTGGCAAAACAATTTGTATGTCCTTGTTTCCCACTTCATTTCAATTCGTCAACAAGCAAAACTGGGAAAGTTAAAGGCAGACACATCTTCACCTGCCTTCATTGATGGAGAAAAGCAATTATATGTTCTTAGAAATGAAAGTTTATCAATAATCACTCATAATTACAAAAACACTCACCAATTTTTTATCTCTATCAAAAGCATGCAAACCCTGACCAAAAAGTTAAAGGTTGGTAATAGTTCTGACTCATGTATTGTCAGTTAATCCCGGAACAAATGTGATTCAAGATTTTTCTTCCAGCTTCTGCCGCAAGAAATTGTAGCATTCAGCCCAAAATTTGAGGAAGCCATGGCAATGTTAATCACTACTTTGGCTCCAATGGCACCTCACTTCGCATCAGAGCTGTGGCGAGGCCTTGCCTTGGCCCCAAGGCTTGTAGAATCCTCATCTGGAATTAATTGGGGAAAACCTGTACTACATCAACCTTGGCCACAGCTAGACCCAGAGTATCATCTTCCAGTAACCATTTATGTAGGTACCTCTTTCTGCCCTTTTAGACTGTATTTTTGTTGCTACATTTTTAAAAAACTGAATCGTTTTCTTTTTTGGTGGCTAGATCAAATCAATAGCAGTATGCTGTACAACTATCCCATACAAACAGCTAAAGGATATCAGCAAGGATACCTTACTTCAAGTAGCTTTGCAGCAAGAAAGAATTCAGGAGTTACTCAGAGATAAAACATTTGAGGCCGGCAGCATTAACATTTTTGATATATGGGGAGCCAATGTAAATTTGAGAGTTCCTGCATTAAGAAGAGAGGAACTGAATGTATTAACTAATCGGCTAAAAAAGGCTCCTGTCAAACAAAACACTAAAAAATCCCAGATTTCTTCTTAAATGTGGTGTTAGTACATAAAACCATCATGGAGGAGGGATAAAAATGATTTAGGAAAGAAAAACATCTCGTTTATTTATTCACTAATGCCATTTTTTTTAAAGAACAAAAAAAGATCTTGTTTCTTCCAATGATAAGAATCAGGTTTTCTTAAAAACAAGGAGAAATATCTTTTTAACTTATTACAATAAGGCCAGTGGCCAAGGAAGAAACTGCATTTAGCAGTTAATTAAGAATTAAAATTAGTGAACAGAAAAATAAAAAGATTCACATGAAAACTGCTTCATGTTCAATCACAATTAAATAAGAAATAAAACGGACTTTGGATAATGGTTCATGGAGGAGGTAACAATAATTTAATAAATTACGCCTATCATAAGTCTCATTAATCACACATACAGCAGTTGTGCCCATAAGTACATGTCATAACTAGCGTTGTCGGTAGCGAGCTGTGGTGACAGATTCTGAATTTGATGACTCTCCATCTCCAGGAGTAAACAGTCCGCTTGATCGTCTATTGGAATAACCTTCACCAAGTCCACCAAATGAAGGAGCAGACATGCGATTGTAACCATGGCCATCACTGAAAGCAAAAGAGAATGGTTAATTATTTTATGTTTAAAACCAGTTAAAATACATTTAAAAGAATGCTAAATGTAGCTTCTCCTTTACCCTATGGTAGTGGCACACATTATTTTAGCCTTTTTGTTCAAACAGAGCACAAATTTTAATATTGATGTTTGATGAATAATTAGAGTTTCAGCAACAGCAAAAAGAGGAATATAACACTTGGAGAGTACCTTTACTGGGGCTTTAAACTTGGATTGAAAGACTGGAGAAGAGGGTCTGACCCATTAGTCTACATTCATTGGCTTTTCTTGGAAGAAGAAAGGAAAAGGGTGGGAATCTGCACTTTAAAAAATCATGGAATGAATAAAAATAAATATTTGTCAAGATTTTGAGCACTCTTTCCTATAAGCCAAATCTAGATGTTAGGAAATAGCTTAGTTTGTGATTAGGTCTAAAACTGTCTCCACTCTTCTCATAATATTTATGATCAACAGTAGCTCATTACAGCAGAAACATGGCTGTATAGAATATAGCTCATCATCACCATTATGCTTTGCATTTTTGTAAATTAACATGTGTCATGTGTCACCTAATGTGTCTACCAAAGACAATGTTCATTTGCAGGTGCCAACTTACTTGCGACCCCGATTGCCACCCATCATGTAGCCCAAGACACCACCTGCTGCAAGCCCAGTCCAAAAACCTCCTCCCCCTCCACCAGACCTCTGATTTTGTTGATTTCCACATGAGTCACTCCTGGGTGCGAATCCTCCTCGATGGCGTCGATATTGTTGATTCATGCCGGGTATATTCCAGCCCATTTGAGGCCCATTTCCATTATTAGGCCCATGTCCGTCATCAGGCCCATCATCATCGGTAAAACTGAAAAAAGAACAGAGCAATAATTAACTAAATGAATGTAGATACTTCATTGTCCATTCACCAGTAACCTAAACCAAAGATGTGATTTACCTGTTTTGACGAAGTTGCTCATTATCAGGCCACAAGAATATTTTACAAAGTACTACTATCAGGAATAGACAAAACAGAAAGAAAAGAATGGATGCAACTTCCAAACCACCTCCATTCTTCACGTTTCGGGGCTTAATAGAATACTCCAACTAAAAAAGAGGATGTAAAACAAAGCTCACTGTTAGATAACTCCTAGTTATACTGTGCTAAAAGGAAAAGATTAGAAGAACGAAAACTTACTGAACATGAACCGACAGTTACATACGCATCATCAGGACTACTGTAGCCTTCACATATTACTTCAGGGCTATCTAAGGCGTAGTTAGAATCTAAATCGGACTTGCATTTCCACTGAAATTTATAGATAAAATAATTGAAAGAGATGTACAAAAGAAAATTCAGAGCTGAATCAATGTAAAACTTACCAGATTGGAAGTACCATCCCAACCAGCATTGGTACACTGTATTTGTTTAGGTTGAGGGTAATGACACCCCTTCAAGCAAACTAGTTGCGGCACAGAATACGTCCGACGGGCACGGGTTTTCTCTCCAGGAGAAAAATAAAGTGTACCTAGATCCTTGTAGAGAACTTTGTCTGAAAAGAAACAACACCGCTATGAATGTTTTGAATCCAACAGAGTCAGGCTACTGCCATACAAACAGCGGAAAGATCCAAATGAAATGCACAAAAATTTAAGAAACATATGCATGACATAGGAAAAAAGCAAAGAAATTAGAAACGCAGATCGAAGCCCATCGGACGGGTCGTTCCAGGACTTCAGCTCTTAGGCCATAAGCACTCACCTCGTTCTTTAAAAGATGCCGATATCCAGTCAATGTTCATTAAAACTAATAAAAGAGAGGCAAGTATAAAATACTTATTCGAATACATGGCCACAGAGTTTCCTGTCAAAGTCTCTGACTGATGCAATAGAATTTCAGGACAAATACAAAACAAGTCTGACGGACTTCTTCTGACTCAGAGCTTAGGGGTTGGTCCAGTTTACAGGTGCTTGCATGCCGTCAAAAGTGGTGGCATGAGAAATTTATAAACTCTGACAAATTTCTCATAGCAAAGCACAATCCGAACTCTGTCCGAACTATTTTACTTTCCTGTAGTACATTAAATTTCATAATAAGGAAAAGCATGGTAAGATTTACGACTGTAGTAGTTTGTAATGATTCACATGGAGACACACAGCGTGTCTCCATGCTTTGACAGCCCAGCCCCCTTCCTCCCGGAGATCGCTAGTGGGGCGGGTGGAGGGGGAAGGGAAGTCACACCGAGTAGAGGATAAACAATCTGTTCAAGTCGAATGAACACCAAAAGCGGGTTCACAATACCTCCAGAGAACTGTGTTTAACTCGAACATTCATTCCTGCTGTGTTACGTTGTGTGTGTTCAGTACATGAAATAATACAATTGTAGAATCACGCAAGTACAGTTCTGTGAAACAAGGCAAATTTTATTTTTTCAATATGTTTCCATAAGCCATTAGGGCTGCTTGCTGCACACCTTATCACATGTCACATCCTGTTCTTTTAGAACTTATAAATGTTACAATCAAAGGCAATATTTTACTTACGCCTAAAAAATATAATTGGACTTAAAAATATGTACTACTTTGGTGTGATGAGATCAAGCTTTAACACAACTTTATTATTAATAAATCTCTCATATTTTCCCCATTTTTTCACACTTCATCGTCAGCAAGATTATTTCGTGGTTCACTTTCAGGAGAAGAATCTATGGGATGATTACGAACCCGAACCTGAGCTTCTACCTCTATGTGGGACTTGTCATTGGCATCTGTGCCTGTGGCTGAAGCCTTACTGGAAGTGTCAGAAAGCAGCCGACTGTTCAAAGATTTACTTAATTGTGATGAAGTTTGCAAGAGCTGCATAAAGAGATACAGGCTATTAAAAATTGAAATCTGAATTAAAAAAACAAACAATTGTGATGAGATTTATTATTTCTTACCTCTGAACTTATTTGTGGAGTCACTTGAGCCAAATCCTGGAATCTTACAAGCTGCAGAGATGCACCTTCTAGATCTCCTTGACTCTCAAGAAACACAGCAAAGTTTAGGGGAACGCTAACATCTAAAGGGGCAAGGAAACTTGCCTGCTTGAAAGCCTCAGTGGCATTGTCTGGATCTTCCAGGTGACGTAACGTAACTGCAATTAAATTATGGCAACGTTTGTTAATAATAATAAAATGCGTTGTTTTTTTGTTAAAAAGGAAGTTGCTTACTGGCAAGAAGGAGAAAAGTGCCAGCATGTGCTGGTTTCAAGTTTATTGCAGCAGATAGGAAGTGAAATGCAGATGCATACTGCTGAGTAGCCATGTGAACAAGACCCAAGTTGAACAAAATGTCCCAATCCAGAGGACTGAGATAGTGAGCCCGTTTCAAACAACTCAGAGACTGAAAATGAGTTAATGTATCAAGAGCAGTTCATAGAGAAAGATTAAGATACAATTATAAATCACTGGTATATTATGCTCCTACTGCCACGAACTTCTTCTTCCCATAAAAGCACATCCCCACATTGTTCCACAGAGCAGGGGACTCTGGCCAAGACTGAGCTGCTATTTTGTACTTAGATAAGGCTACATCATAATCAGAATGGTTCTGGAAAAATAAATAAGCAATTAAAGGTCAACACACATTGTTTCTGACTCTTTTCTTTTTTAATTTAAATATAAAACTTACTTGCATCATGGCTCCAGCAGCCAAGAGAGCCTGAGCACACTGAGGGTCCCTTGCTAGAGCTCCACCAAGCTTTTCCAAGGCATGTTGATATTTGCCTTCTTGAAGATAAAGAAGGCCCAGTGATGTAGCTAGTTGTGCACTATCAGGAGAAGCTCTTAAAAAAAAAAGCCTGTTTTACGGATTTTTTAATAGATTTTTTGTAGCAAATTTTGATTATAAAAAGGGTAACTCACTCTACAGCTGCTTTGTATATATCAATAGCTGCCTGCATTTCACCTTCCATTTTGTACATATTTGCAAGAGCAATGTAGGAACGCTCATGGCGACCAAGCTGCACCGCTTGACGCAAAGCTTCCTTGGCTTTTCCGTGCTCTCCTAATCGCAACCAACATTCACCTGAACGACATCAAGGATATTTTTTATACCAGCTTGTTTCAAATCAAACTCAGATAATATTAGGATTTTAATTAATGAAAACTGACATTACCTAAGTTGTGAAAAATATCCCAGTCAGGAGTCTTGGATACTTGTTGAGCTTCCAGATATGCTTCCAATGCAACATTATGCAAACCCAAAAGAAAACTGTACAAAAGCGAGGAAAAATTAGAGGAAAATTGTTATTGTAACAACTGGCCACATCATAAGTATCCAAAACAAACTTACAGTGATCGAGCCACTTGTTTAATATTATCTACATTCCGTTGGTTAAGACTGTGACATATCTGGAAGCATTCTAGTGATTCTTGAATTTTTCCTTCATGACGTAATATAAGACCCTGATTTTTAAAGAGATTGATTATAACTGGATCAAACAGTAGAAACAAATAGAACCCCAAATCCCTTGTACCTGTATGTAATTTGCGTACTCATGTTTTCCTCGTGTACGTTCCAGTTCTTCTTGAACCAAGATTTTACAAATTCCGAATTCTTTCCTGGAATAATGACGATGCAGTAGCCAGTTACGTCCCTCCACTGCCTGAAGCTCTGGTGCTAAAATAGGCAAAATGGATACAGCTTTAAGACTATTCAAGACCAGAGTAAAATTGAAAACAAGCCTACAAAGTCAGATATAAATGGGTAATACACGTCCTCAAACAACAAATTTTAATTTAGTGCAACAAATTGACAGAACATACAAAAGCTGGGAACATTTAATTACCTTTCGTGGAATCCTGTCTCGATTTTGGAACGCTTCTTGCAGGTATACCATTTGAGTATTCTGTCCTAGCACTGTCCATCTTCTACAGTTACTTTTCAATGTATCAAATCAAACAATTTGTGATGTTCTGACAGATTCCTGACAGATCGGTGTTTGGTCTTGTTGTGGTTTTTAAAACAGCAGACAATGTGTTATGAGAAATTCAGGATGAGAAAACCAGAGTATGAGAAATTGTTTCTAGGTTCGTCTAGGTTGTTAGAAGCATGTTGGAAGTTAAACCCGAGAGGGGATCTTTGGTACTCTAACAGTCACTAAAGAGCAAAGTTCTAAAGGCCCAGAGGAACGAGTTCAGGTTGTTTTAGCAATTGTAGTGGTCACATTAATAAAGCCCTTGAGGGCTACCTAGAGTCCCGAGCCATCTTGGACAGAGGAACTACTGTGAGTGACACCTCATGAACTGCATGCAGTAGTAGTAGAGACACAGTGATGGTCAGCCACTTCTTTAGACAATTTTTTTCAAAGCAAAATCCATTTACATTTATGTGACAGTTATTATTTCTCATTGTAATATTTTCAGACTTACTCAGTAACACAACAGGTACAGTAAGAAATTGGGAACACAAAGCCGTCCTTTTGAAATATATACAAATTTATTTTAAATATTAACACAACAAGTAAAACATAATTTATTTTTTTTAAGGGTTTTCCCCCAATTTTTTAAATAATATCTCAGTGACAAAGCAATTGCATGCAGAAGGTCTCCAAGTCAAAACAACCCTTGGCATTTTGTGGATCCTGTACAAGTCAAAAGCACAAATCACAGTTCCACAAAGCGATTCCTAGATTACTCCTCCTAATAAGATTATGGGCATAGACAAAAACAAGACCACATTGGATTTTAAATGTTTAAAATTTAAGGCAGATGTTTAGTATTGAAAACATCCACAAACCAGTACTGGTATTCCTTATTTATATATAGATAGATATTTATTCCCATCCCAGAAGTATTAAACAAAATACATGGGAGAAACATTCGTGAAGTTCATTGCAGTTTGAAGTTTTTGACCTTCTCTCTTCAAATTATCCAACACAATGTTTTGCCTGCAACAGAACATAAAGTTTTAGCAACAGATCTATTATTGCCTTAAAATTAGAGGGCAGTGTGTGAGTGCGTGTTCCTCACCCTTCCAAATACACACGACCGCGAGATGCAGCTAGGTGTGCGTAGTATGTGGGAGCTGGGTAAGAGACTGCTCGGTCGCACCGAGTAAACAAGTGGCACAAACTGTAAGTTAACATCTGTATCTCATTCTCAGACATTTTTGCATCATCCCATAAAACATGGTATTTTGTGGGCCGTGCCACACCCTAAAACCAAACAAGATACATCAAGGCTTTAAAAGGACGACTACCACAAAATTTTACAGCATCGAAAGGCAAGTCAGAATGTCACCTGTATGCTGGCATGACTGACAAGATAGAAATCAATTTCAGTGGGATGGGTAATGTCAGTATCCACAATGGTGCCAGCAGGTACGTTTCCATTCCTGTCATGTGAATCCCTTGGATTCATAGGGAAGAAGCGTGTATGATGCCTCTTTTGGACCACCAAAAATGTGATCTTTGACTTTATTTTGAAAGAATCACATGCCTGTTGAATGGCTCTTAGCTCGTCATGCAATACCTGCTCAGCACCAGAAAGTAGTTTTAGTTAAAGATGCAGTAACTAGATGAATTGTAAATGATAACAGTGGCAAGAAGTAAGTCAAAACTGATAAGAAGATAATAAACAAAACACTTACCTGCTGGAATTGTCCCTCACTCACACCATCTCGATAAAAGAAAATGTGCTCAGGTAGAGAATTGGTTTCCTTCTGGTAAATAGCTAATTGTTCCCTGACAATATTTTGGAGGTCTTGGATAATTTCCACTCTGGGAGGTTGCAAACGAATTTTCATATTATATTTGAATCCTTTCAGGTCATGAGATGCTGTCACCTAAAATTGAATACAATAATTGTAAGGCTCTGTAAATCAACTTAAGTCAAGTGGTGTTTCGTACCGCTGCTACAGATGGTATGTCTTTAGAATCCGGGGAGGGATGAGTCACATCAGCTCCGATGACAAGAATGTTTCTGCCCAAACACTTCAATCTGCACATGAAACAAATACACATGTAACTATGATGCCTCATTTGAGACAAGCTGATGTCACCGCAATGAAGATCTCACTTGGTGCTGTCTGCAATGACTTGATTAATACCATTGAATTTGGCATTAATTTTTAGAAGAATATTATGGATAGTTGGTTGATTCAAACGTTTGTAGAGAGTTTGATCTTTAACACATTGTGTCAAAATTCCTACTTGAATTTCAGCAGCCTGTTTCACTTGACCTGTTAACAAGAAAATGCTTTCAAATTAATACTAATGCCCAAAGCACACTTAAATACAAGTTATAGTAATTGGAATTGTTTAAAAGCAGCAAGGCGAAATGGTGTAAAACTTGCTCTAACTGTCCCAATGAGAACATACCATAAATCAGTTTGTTGTAACCAGAAATGACCACAACAACTAAGTCATAGCCGTTGGATTTAAGATTCTCAAATGTTGATTTTAGATCATTCTTTAATCTTGGGCTTCTATCATTCAAGAATATTGTGGGATCATCTTTTTCAATGATCAAATTCGAGCGTCTGCCCTCATTTATAAGCTGAGAAGAAAAGTCCCTAAAATCGAAAATCAAAATTAAAAATAGAGGTATGTTGATGCTTAAAATGACAGGGAACATTCCAACTAAGATCAAAAGAATAGTACAAACTTCAAACAATCTGGGTTGAATCTTTCCATTGTGGAGACAATGATCCACTTCTTCAAATGTCTAGTTTGCAAGAATGGGCCACCACGCCACACTCCTCTCTGAGGTTCAACAACAAAGCCCTGGAACACATGAAAAGATAGATAAAATAATGGTAGGGAAAAAAGGCAATATAAACATCATAGAAGGGAGGAATGACTAATGTTAAAGTAAGTGTACACAATTAATAGTTAAACCTTCATTTACCTTATTGTAAGCAAGTTTTGGAGCAGGCAAAATACGTCCACTCACTTGAGTGAAGTCATCAGTTACAGACAAACCAAACTCTTTAACTTCCAAGCTGGCATTTATGTTGGCTCTCCTCATCTACAAAATAAATAATAATAATAATATATTTTAAAAAATGTAACAAGAAGTACACACCCAATTCGTATCAACGTTTTGAATCAACCTACAGCTTCTCTTATTTTTCTTTTACGGTCTTCAACATTTGTAGCTGCAGCTTTCACCATTCTTGATGTCTGGTTTTCATCAAGTTTCTTCATAGTTGGTTGGCCACCAATCAGGAGACAGAGCTAAGTTAAAAGAGGGAACTGCACATTAGCAGAAACTTGGAAAGGGGCAACAGTAAATGGGCAATAAGTAAATGACAGTCTTACTTCCATTGGGACCAATATATCCTTTTCCCTTGGGCCAACATGAATGCAAGGGAGTCCAGGGAACCTTAACTTGTACTGCTTTTCTTTTTCAAAATATTCTCCAATGCACATCTTTCTTCCATCGGCCAACTCAAACCTGGCTCAACAGTTAAGTTCAAGTTTAGAGACAAACACCTAATGAATGACACATGCATGCCAGTTAATAAATTAGTTGATTAACCAACACGTCTCTCACCTCTCATCAAAGGCATTTTTCCTTAGCCCATTCACTCTGTAAGTTCTCTTGCTGCTATCAATTCTTGGAATTTTATACTCAACTTTTAGACCCTTTATGAACTTTTCAAAGTTTGATTTTGTATATTGGTTCTGGAGTGCCTCAGAAGGACTTTTTGCATTCGGAGCAAACTCCTGCAGTATATCTAGAAGTGGTCTCTCCATAGGGAAACCTTTATGAGCCACTGTACAAAGGCAAGAAAAAATTAAAATGCAAATTATTTGCAATCCCTCTTTATACACCATGTGCGGTTCAGATGAGAAATCCCCTTTACTCATAGAAACAAATAAGATCAGGTAACAGGTTTGTTTGAATAAAGTTAATTACCATCAATATTTATATAGGGTTTGTGCCCCATAATGAAGGACTGGAAAAATCCAAGCCAGAGTTCCATTCCAGAACCCAAATTCAAAGGCCTTTCTTGAGGACAGAAAAATGAGCGGCCAACCTGAATGAAACTATAGGTGAAGAAAAGAGATAAAAAATAGAAGTTGAGCTCCATGATTCAAATAGATATTACACAGCAAGTGCCAATACTCACTTCCGAGCTGATGCCGAACGCAATATTACGTCCACAGCTTGAATAACATCTTGAGGAATATTGGAAGAAGCCCCTGACTTCTGATAAGCAAACAAACCATCCAAAGAAATGTTTGAACGTGCTAATTTAATAGTCACTTTAAAGGGCTTTGGAGCTTTATCAGATCTTTCCTCATCGGGCACAGTAACTTCCTGATGGAGCTGAAACAATTATGATATTTGTTGTACAAATCAAGTTAGACATTATGGAATAAAACACTTATTTCTAGCAAAAAAAGAAATTTAAAAAAATACCTCATTTCCAAATGGTAAAAGGCCTTTACTATAAAGGTTCTTTCGGCCATCAAACCCAGGGTAACTATTTGGATAGAAACGTTTCTGCATTTCTTGCATGACCAGCCTGTAAGAAAGAAAAGGATTAAAACATCTTGTCTTTGAAAAATTAAGAAACTGATGTGCAGTACCTCATAAAGCGCTTGGGCTTATCTGGATCAATTGTGACATCATAGTGAAAGATCTTTATGTTTGGGTCTCTCATTTTCAAAAGGAGGTGATTGACCTCGAGTGGTATTTTCCTACCCAACTTCTCATCAGGTGGGCAATTAGCACGCTGCGGCAACGCAACAAGTGGACCTGCTTGTTTTCCTGTAGCAACAACAAGAAAACCAACGATAAAAAAGTCAATGGTAAATATGGATGACTCTTTCTTATGAGGCAATATTAAATTTTTGTCAACAGGGTAGGTAATTATATTATACTGGTGACTTAGACTTCAGACAAAATTTTGACAGTGACTTTAAACTTTTAATGATTCTTTGACATCTTAACCCTGCTACCCTTAGAAGGAAACGAGAAATATGAATCTAAATATGAAAATAAGGAGCAAAGGATGGGTAAAAACAAAGCAAAATGGTGAAGCTGTAGCCAGGAGCCTTTCAGTAGTAAAGAGCATGAAATTCAAGTAGAAAAGCTTGCCTGAATCTCCTGATGGACCGCTAGGTGTAGAGCGTTGTACAGAAGGCGGTCTCTGAACTGGTTGAGACGGTTGTGGGTGCTGTCCCTGGGCCTGTTGAGGGCTCGGCGATGGGCCTTGCTTTGGGGCAGGAGCCTGAGAGACTCCTTGCTGCTGTGCATGTGCCTGCTGTCCATGGCCCCATGGGGCTGCTTGCTGTTGAGCAGGTGCCTGATTTCCATGACCCCATGGAGCTCCTTGCTGTTGAGCAGGTGCCTGTTGTTGCTGCGCAGGTGGCTGATTTCCACGGCCCCATGGGGCTCCTTGCTGTTGAGCAGGTGCCTGTTGTTGCTGCCCAGGTGGCTGATTTCCACGGCCCCATGGGGCTCCTTGCTGTTGAGCAGGTACCTGTTGTTGCTGCACAGGTGCCTGATGTCCACCGCCCCAAGAGCCTCCTTGACCAGGATGCTGCCCTTGTACCTGGCCAGGATTCTGGCCTCTGCCTTGACCTCGGCCTCTGCCTAGGCCAGGCTGTTGACCTTGTCCTTGACCTGGTTGTTGGCCTCCACCTCTGCCTTGTCCAGGTTGTCCTCTGCCTCTGCCCTGTCCAGGTTGTTGGCCTCCGCCTCGTCCTTGACCAGGTTGCTGGCCTTGCCCTTGACCGGGTTGCTGACCTCTGCCCTGAACTGGATTCTGGCCTTGTCCCTGGCCAGGATTTTGATGAGGATGGGCTTGAACTGCTTGCTGGGCTTGAGCTGGTTGCCGGGCTTGAGGTGGTTGCGGGGCTTGAGCTGGTTGCTGGGCTTGCTGGGCTTGAGGTGCAGGGGCCTGAGATGGCTGTTTAGAAGCCTGTCCACTTCCCTCATCTCCTTGACCTCCTCCTTTTCCTTTTCCTAATGGCCGGAATTCAAGGGTGTTAGAGAAGCACTAAAGATAATCCGCAACAGAAATACACAATGGACTTACCTTTACGATTTTTCCCCATGGTGCCTGAAAGAAGTAAAGGGCAGAATAGAATATGATTACAGGATGCAGTTTTATTGAATGGATCACTTGTTTTAGGGCTCAAGTAGATAAAATGAAGGATAGGAGAGTGGACAATCTCCTTGACTTTACAAGAACATTGAAAGAGTAATAGTTAATTACAAACAGTTCGTTCATTTAATTTAAATTACTGGTGCAACTTGAGTAGGAAGTTCAGGTTTGAGAAGCCAAGCCTCTCTTTGAACCGCCTGGCTTCGCTTGGAGCCGCAAGCCTGCGCAAGCCTACATAATAGTGAGGTTAGTGTACCAGTAAGATACGTTGACAGACACTGTCATAAGTAGGACCAAACTCAGTCTTGCTTGTGGTTGAGTAAAAAATGTTGAGTCGTAGAGAACAACGCCAAGCCAAGCCGAGTAGCCGTGAGACGATTGCACAAGGATGTGTCAAATTACAAAATTTCAAAGCGAATGTTTCTAGACATATTTACTGGCAAAAGCCCCGAAGAAAAGAACACGATTGCAGAGACTCTGAGCTTGGGAGGAATCCGTCGCATCGAGAGACACTGATTCTGATCAATGCGTACCGGCAACAGATGAAATATAACGCGAGAAAGTAAGGCCTACCTCAGCCTGAACAAGCGATACGTCCACACAAACAGATTGATTGAGAGTAATACAAACGAACGGCAAAACGAGAACCAATAACATAGCGAATGAGAGTAACTCACACGATTAATGCACAACGAATGGAATGATGATGTATTCTTCCACTTGTAAATCGGAGAGTCTGACGCAATGCCAATGTACGACGCAGATTAGATTTAACGCAGACTCGAACAAGCTGGAACCTGGGAATCCCCCACTTCCACTCGGGGAGGAGAATGAAGAGGGGGCGGAGCGGAGGGGCGTTGATGTTCTTCTTTGCCGACCGTACCCTGCCCTTTAAGGGTAACCATCATTTGATGCTAGGAAATTTCAATATTGTAAAAATATATGTTAGTATTTCGGTGATTCCTTCCTTATTTAATTTGCGCTCTTATGTGACGATACTTCTTTCTGACCACAGTTGTAGTGTTGTTGTTGTTGTTTTTGAAGAAGTTTGCCTGAATCGAGTAGTCACTGCAGAAAGATGGCGTTGTTTTGTAGAGCTCGCGTTAGACTCTAAATTTTTATCGAAATATGAATTAAAAATACCACAGTGCGTTATCATAATATTGCGGTCGTCTTGATATTTATCCGAGGCAGGTGTGTGAAGCTTTTTGACGCTAGAAACTCTTCTATTCTACCTTAATGCGGAGGGTCGTCGGACGCTGTGGCTCTGCTGTCACGCTTTCTCGGGGCGGCTTGTTATTTTTACGACGAATTCCCAAATGTGCCTTCAATTTCGTTTTGATAGTATTGAATGCGTTCTTGTTCCTCATATTTTTGTGTTCTCGTTGTCCATCTGATTCGTTGTTTTGGAAGCACATACTTTGTCGGGTACTTCGAATTTCAGGTTAATTAGGATGCCAAAATTAATTTTGTTGTTATGGTGTGAGATTTGATGGAATTACACTCTAATTTGTCAGGATTAAATGGAATCTTCACAGCGATTTTTTATTTTCTCATTTATTGGGCTTCAATTTGTTGAATGCATCACTACTTTCAACCTAATTAATATTCATATTTTTCTCTGTGAATATTAAAGATGTATACCTAATCCAGTCATATGTTTTTAGTACTGGGTTATGCAATATCATCTAGCAAGTGAATACTGTCCTTTCTTTTTTCAGTTTGTCTCATTTGCACTTTGGCTTTGTTCTTACAGTTGGCATTGCATTTCACGATGGAATTGCATGGCTTCCAACTGGTGTAGGCTAGTTGGGCCATGCAGGCACAGCCAGGCCGGCGCTATCTTAACTCCGTATCAGATTTGTATGGTGCTGATGAAATAGAAGCGTTGTGGGACGAAATTCGCACACTGGAGCCCTCAAGTTGTCGCCCCGAGGACATACAGGTATAAACTAGATACTAATGGATCTTTAGCCTTTAATTTGTTGTTTTATAGTTAGTATTATGGAAAAATTGTGAGTTCTACAATTATTGACTCAGTTCTTTCTTTGGACAAAGGTTTATTTTGCTGTCAGTGCATGGTGTTTTGTACGCACTAACAGCAATTAAAATGCATGTGAATTGTAATGAAGTCTTTAACTTATTTGAGCAGTTAAGTCTTAATCAATTTTGTAAATGGGGTAAGGCTTTCTTTGTCACCATAGCCCTATGGAAGTTACCATTTTAACGTCACCTTAGCAATTTAGTATAGTTTCTGGTTAACAAGTTATCTCTTCTGAAGTTTGGAGATGTATGGGTACCTTCCTTTCAAAAGCAAAGCAGATGTGTTAAGATACATGTCAATTAGTTTAACCACAGATACAGGCAATGGCTTTGACAGAGCATTGATTCTTTCTCACATTTTAAAACCAACAAGTTACGGTGTTCTTTGTGAACAGAGAGGAAGTTATAATGGACCGTCAGGTGAGGATGCAGATTTTGCTACATGCTGTAGCCAATTAAATAATGACTTGAGTGAGGACGAAGTTTTCTTTGAAGCGGAATCGTCATTGGAGGTGAGTCAGTGTTAAGAGGAATGAGGTTCACATCAAACTTTAATGTCCAATTTCATGCTATTTTTATAATATTTAAATTCTGAGCTAGTTTTATGTTTTGTTAATCTGTGTCAAAATCTGACTATATTCTCTCCTGAAGACTTAATTAGGCCTTTAATCAGCATGCTTTATCATTTGTCAAAACCATTGCCTGTCTATCTCAATGTGGTATTGCTAACTACATTGATTCTCACTGATGAGAATCAAACAGAAGATGTCTTCCCTCACATTGCATGTTTCTAATTGCACAATAAGTTTCTTACACCATTTTATGCACTGTGACTGACTTTTTATCCATTTTATGTCATATGTGGTACACTTTTAGAATTTAATTCAGTCTTGTAAATTGTAGCCTTTCTACTTGTACCTATGCTTCTTCCTCCATCACAGCAAATTCAGAAGCTAAGAGCAGCATAGCTGAGTTGTATTGGAAAGCTACTGCAATTCCAATCAATTACCCGCTCTAAATTTGAACGCCTCCTCACTGCCCATTTTTGTGCCCCCGGGCGAAGGTCGCGGTGCCTGTTGCCTGTTTCCTGTTTTTAAAATTGTCTAGTGTTGACATGTTGCAGGACTTCGAGATTGCGGGCAGTCAGACGGGCGTGGCCAGCGTGGCTGACTGTGAGTCGCCCGCGGTCACGGTCCGATCATGGGACTCTCACGCCAACTACCGCGTGCCGGGGTCCCACCCCGGCTCCATCTTCCACGGAGTCATCCTGTACTGCGACGAGACGCATCTCAAGTCGTCCACAGGAGTCGTCCGGGTTCTTCTAGTGGCATGTTTCTCTCAGTCCTCTCCAAAGTATCATCGGGTATAAACTTGGAATTGTTTTATTTACTGGATGGTTTACTGTTTCAGATATCGTCCGTGGCGTGTTTAGCTTGTCTCTGTTCCTCTGGGACAGTGAAGCTGGGGTTGTTTATGCTGCCTCTTGTGGCCCGCCTTCGTTTGATGATGTTTGTGACCATCTTTAGCTTATTGGTCACGATCTTGCTGCTGTTCCTGGACATCTCACACATAATATATCTGTTTCCATTTAATTGGGGGAAACTGGTACGGAAATCTTTGGCTGGCAAAGTCATCCATTTTTACTCCAATGCAAGTCTTAAATCTACTTAATAGTTTTTCTTTTACCTTGTTTCAGAATGCATGGTTTTATGTCAGCGTTAGTGTGCTTTACCTAATCAGTTCATCACTCATCCTTCATCTGCTCAATGAGTATCAGGAATCATACTCTTGGATACCAAAGAAAACCCGGGACCACCTCTTAGCAACTGGGGTCAGTTGTTTTACATTCTTCTTTCTCTTTCTACTTTGAATGGATATTATTGTTTATTTAAGAAAAGAGCAACTTATCTCTAAAATTGATTTTCTTTCATGTTGTCAGGTTTTGGGGTACATATGTGCCATTGAGGCTCTAGTACTTTCTGTTACAACCAGCTGTTGTCGTCGAGACCAATATCGGCCTGTGGTTACTGAAGATTCAAGCGAAATGAAAGTCCGAGATTCGGCACTCCAGCCTTTGCGGTCTGACAGTCCTCAGCATCGCGTGACGCCTCCCAACAAGTTGGCTGTCCCCTCCTCAGCTTCCACTTCTTCCCGTGTGTCTCGGATGCGCAACTCAGCATCTGCCCCTCTCTGGCCTTTGGATGATGGGCAGCCAGGCTCGTCCAAACACAATGACGGCTATGCGTGACGTTAATGTTCGCTCTTTTTCTTGATCAGGTATTCATGTAACCCTATTGAATACTTGGGGTATTTAGTCCAAAGAATTCTGCTTTTCATTTGTAACACAATCAGTTTCCACATATTTTTAAAACGTGGGAATACCAATTATAAGAGTTTCGCTGGAAGTGCCTGTATCCCATTTCATTAGTGAATCAATCTTATTAGATTCAGAGGATATTTTAAATTTCATTGTAATTGTCAAATGTACGAGACAACAAACAGGGGCTTTGGCTGGCCCATTTGAAGGGAAGGCTCAACTATCTTAGCAGTTGGCCTAACCTATCTTAAATGAATATAGTTGACCCTGAAAGTGTTCCCGTATTTTTGTATTGTAGTGTACATGATGTGTAATTTTTATGCTGAGGCTTTCAAAATTTGTGATTTTTTCTGATAGACTATCTTTAGATAGCAACAAAGATTTTTAGGCTACAGCCAAATATTATGTTTTTCAGCAGGCATTAGTGGAATTTTTATTCAGCACACAGTAATTGTTTTCTAGTCAAGAGGTATTACAGTACCATGATCTCTAGAGGCCTGCATACTTATTTATGCACTTCCCCGAGTAATTTCATTTTTTGACTGATATAATTTTGAGTGTGATATTTTTCTTTTACTGTAAGTTGATTCCATTTTTTTTTTTTTCATAAAGTATTATGACAAGTCATCTTTAACAAGTAAAACTGTACTTCCATTTTAGTTTACCAGCATTCTGATGCTGCTTCCTCTATATTGTAAAGTGCCAGGAGGTTTAACTCAGTCAATAGTTTTATGATATTGTCTTACCTTTCGTACTTATGTGTATTTTGTTTTGTTTCATCTTTGTAACATGCTACATTTTTCCTTGCTGCTTTTGCCTGCTCTTGTGTCAACTTGAATGTTGTCAACTATGGAGAGAGCTGTTTATGATCTGTGAAGGTGGCTGTTAAACATATCGTGGCACTGTGTAGTTGTCACCTGCCGTCCTGGTTGAATTTGGAATGACAGGGTACGGTATCTCACTGGGGCGGTTTTCGGTTATGGCTTTATGCCTTGGAAGTTTTGTGTACAAATAGTGTCTTACTAAAGACATCATGACAATCTGTAAATTACAAGAGTTTGGATTTAGCCAACTTAATGTAATGAAAATTGTGGTTTTTGTGTTTTGTCTCCTAGCTGGCAGCTTGTAATGGCAGATGCAAAGAGTATTATTCTGTCTGCCCCTAAGTTTTATAATGAGAACCAGAGGAGCATTCTCATGAACAGTCGTGGATTGCTCATTTTGTGCACTGCATTGACCAGAGCTTCCAAACACTTGAATGGCACTCACCCACTCACTCACTTATTTTCAAAGAAAATTTAGTCTAACATGCAATTTTGCATGTACTTTACTGTGTAAGTAACAGTGCTGTTTCTAATAAAGTCTGCTTTCAATATTTCTAACAGATATAGAAAAATTTCTATTATTGCTTTGAAAGTTGTAATTGTTAGCTGTACACGCATGTTATTAAGAGTAAATAATTGCTGAGGTCTGACCCTGGATGCTTAGCTGAACAAATGAAAAGTTTTGTGATATTATCTTAAAGTTGCCATGAAAATTATGAGTAATAAGGGTCTTAGACATTTGTTTACTTTGGATAACATAAATGGACAGGAAGTTTTGAGATGTTATTTCTATTCACACATAACATTGATTCTGTGTGTATAAAATCAGAAATTACAAACTCAAATGTTTATTCACAAAATCCATACTTAATTGGTCACCAGAGTAGGTTATCTTGTTTCACTTGTAAACATTCATCGATAATTGGGATGAAAATTATCTTATTTCAATGCCTTTCCAACATGTGTTTGAAGGTATCATGCATTCATATCAGCACTCTTGGTTCTTTATAAAAGTTCGTCCAGACTAAAGGATTTTTATTTTTCCCTCTATTATCTTTTAAAATATAAAAAAATTCTTTGAAACTTAGTTAAGGTAGTAGATAATGTTTTTTTTTTCTTTTATGTTCGTTGCTTCCTTTGCTTTACTAAGATCGATTGGTCTCAAAGACCAATATGTCTTAAATGGATCAGTAATCTCAAAACTTTAATTGTAGGTATCCAGCCCTACCAAACATACCCACACCATTTACTCTTGTTACTTCTGTGGATGGGCTGTGTTTGGCTGGACTGTATATTTACAACTAAATTAAATTTTTCTCAATGAATTATGTGCGCAGTTCATCTTTTCTGACTTAGATGAAATTTTAAAAACGTTTGTATGTTTTCTGTCCTTGGTATTATTATTTGAAGGTAGTTTTATTCTAGATTTTTGGAGGTGTATGTCACTTTCATTTGAAGGCCAAAGAAACAGATTGGACTGATGTGGGGTTGCATCGATAGTGTTAATTGTAATGCATTACATTCCCTTTCTACCTTTTTTTTTCCTCTTGTCGGAAATTTTCTCTGAGGCGAAATTTTTAGATGAGCTAAAGAACAGCGGTTGTTTTGATGGATGCTTGTGCAGTGTAAAGAAACAGCTTTTTGTTATGAGCTAATCTTGAGGTGCTATTGTATTGGAACATGAAATAGTGTAATCGAGTCACTCTTGTCCTCAGAAGAAATGTGAGTGGTCTAGCTATTTTCATTCTTTTTACTCAAAGAAATTCTTATGCTGCTTTGCTTAAAAACATGAAATTTACATTTCAGTTTAACTTTGATGATGCTCTAGTGGGCAGCATCTAGACCAAGTCTTCTTAGTTATATGTTTGTCTCAGTCTTGCTGAGAACCTCCACAGCTAACGCACTAGTATTATTAGATTTTCAATGTTACCAAACTCTGTTTTTCTTCTTTCTTTTCCTGGGAAACACTCTGCAGGATTTATTCTATCACATTTGTAAATACAATTACAGTTATGAAAGCATTGCTGTGCTCTGGTTTATGTACACTGTAATAGTTTCTAAATTAATTTTATTCTGAATTATTTGGAGACCTTTTGGAGTTACTTTAAATCATTTTAGTTGTTCAGTCTCTGCTTAATAGCTCTAAATATTTCAATATTCTGCGCAAATTTAATGTGAAAAAAATGAGTGAAAGTGTGCATAGGTATTGATGACCTTCAGTTTGTGGGTTTCCATACCTCATATTTTGGTAAGATTATAATTTTTTCAAAGAGAAAAATCTATGAAAATAATTTATAGCCAGCAAGATTGAATGCTAAAACCCAGTTATCTGTGGCAGCATATTTTGTCTAGAAACAAGTTGACTCATTTTACTTGTATTATAATTGTGAAGTACTCATGTTGTATACTAGTTTGTACATGTGTGTGTTTGCTGATGGGATTGGTGCTCACACTGTAGTGTGTTCCTATCGGATTTGTTTCTTGTGTGTATTGGTGTGACAGTTGGATTATGTTTCCGCTCTAGTATCTTTGTGAGAAACCCTTGACCATGTCAACCATTGCAAATAAACCAATCTAAATTTTAAAACGAAAAGTGAAGCATGGTTATTTTCTAAACGAGTTAGAAGTCAGTCCGTGCAAGGGGGGGTGGAGGCGCGGCGGAGTGCCATTCACCGTTTATGAGAGATTGGACTGGGATTGATGAGAATGATCCGGTCCGAAAGTCCGAAATGGCATTGCCGTGGCCGCGTCTTGCCCGATGCGCTGCCCGATGCACTGCCCAGCCCGCACAATGGCCAAGCAATTTGTCAGTCTGCTCCAAGAAGCCATTCCGTCATTTGCCACTGACACTCGTAAAATTTTATCGACGCACATGTGCGGAATACCGGTGTCTGACCGAACCGACTGTGCGCGCGCGAGAGAGACAGAGAGAGAGAAAGAGACACTCGCAAGCGCGGCATTGCATGGCACATGGCATCGGAGCGCCTGAGAGGTAGGCGACCGCATCGCATCGCTGTTGTGCCAGCAGCCATCAAAGCCTGGATCGCTGCCTTACGCAGTCCGACGCCTTACTCCCGAATCCACCCAAGACACACATGGACTGACCCTGCTGGCGGCAATACCCGAAACTCTTTGTCTCAACTTAAAAAACTGCACAACATGACTCCGCATGGGCTGGAATCGAAAAGACCGGGCCGCGGCGGCGCGCGCTCGTTTTTCTCCTTTTTTTTCTGCTTCTCTCTGTCTCTCTCGCTGACCGATGCCAGTCGCGATATCGAGCGGGCTATCGATCTCGCTCTGTATCGGGGAGGAACTTGATGTCGCGGCCGTGCCGTCGTGGAAGGAGAGTGAAGTGGCCGCGCTGGCCGCGCTCCGAAGTAGTACGAAGTGGCAGCTTGTAAAAGAGCAGCATGTGGGACGATTATGGCCCGAACGTGATCGGCACCCGCGTCGCGCGTCCGCCAGCAGGCCGTTTCAAGACCATTTGCTCTGTCTCTCTCGCACTCGTGGGGCGTTGCGAGCCGACGCGAGAGAGACAGCGTCGATTGCAGCCGCGCGGAGCCGTGGAGCCGGGCAGAAGATGAGACGCGACGCACTCCCGGGGAATGACCGCCGCGTCGACCGCTCGGCGCTCGGCGCTCGGGCCGCAAAGAAACGGGGTTCGGGGTGGAGACGCGCGACTCTAAGAGCGCGCCCTGAAGCAGCATGCAAGGGGCCAGGCCAGCACGGGGCGCCAGGCGCGAGTAGCTGAGTGTCTCAATCAGCGCGCGGCAAGTCGGCGGCAAGGCACGCAGCAAGCAGCGCCACCGCCGCTTTCTCGCACTCGAATGGCGCGCGAAACAGTTCCGCGGCCACCGGTCGCCGAGCTTTCGCCGCGCTGGTGGAGGGAAGGAAGGGGAAAGAGGGCGTTCGGATTATGTCTCCTAAACTGCTGCAAAGTATATCGGCGGTGCAATTAGCCGCAGCTGTCCAGTGGGTCGTTTCCTGTGCGCGGTCGTCTCCTAGGCGGCGCCGTGGACGCACCGCGACACCGCGACGCGTCGCGACGCCAAGCACTGGCGATCGGCGATCCTGGACCGCGCAGGGCACGGCATCCGCATATCCGCATGCATAAGCAATGAGCCGAGCCAGCCCGGCCACGCGATGAAGGGACGGAGACCGGCCAGCCGGACAGCGAGACACTTGTCCCGGCGTAAGCGACAATTAATTACCCTAGCGATCGATTTATCGGTTTATCGGTCCGCAGGCAACAACTCCCGCACAATGCGAGAGGAGTGATGCCCATCGCCACCTACTGGGCTACGTTTCTTTTCAATCCACTAGGCAGGCTGCGGCAGGCAACCCTTCCGGGACGTGCGTGTTGTGGTGTAGGAATCGTCGCCTGCTTGGGTCCTGCGATGCACACGCGTCGGATGGGATGCCTACCTCTCCGGCGCTCCCGGCCGAAGCCGCCACAAGCCGCCACCACACCTGCTGCCTCCGGGTCGATGTTCTCAGCCAAATCGAGCGGCGACGAAAACGCCCAGGTCACGATCATCTTCCTGTTTTTCTCCATTGCATCCTCCAAATTTGGCCTCGCGGTCATGTGGCGGCGTGGCCGCGCCGGACCGCCCTGCTCCTCCGAGGCACACTGGACGGTGCTGCCGCCTGGACCGCCCGGTGGACGCCGCCGGTACTAGAGACTCGCGCTGCTCGCGCTCCGCCGCTCGCGCCGCTGCGGGGACGGGTTTGAAGTTTCAAATGAATCGGAAGGGAACCCTTTGGTCAGTAGACGAGCGACAAACGGCTTTCTTGGCTGAAATCAAACGGCAGAGAGGACGAAGAGGAAAAATCGGACTAAACATGAGCGGATTGGCGGGTTCAAGTTCATCTCGACCCGAACGAGAAGCGTCCCCAACGACCCGGTGACTTCCATGCCCCACCGATGCATGATGTCCACGATCATGTCCGAGGCGACGCGGCCACAAACGGGAGGGAGAGAGAGAGAGATGGCATTCCTGGCGGTCGAGATAAAACTGTGAACGGCACCGGGACAAGAAAGCGTGCTCCGTGCTCCAAACCCAGGCAGCAAGTGTTGTGTTCGCACTGCACCGAACCGCGCTATTTTAGCGAGAAGGAAAAAAACAAAACCATTTCGCAGTGCAGTGAGGCTTTCTCGCCAGCCGCAAACGCCACCATTAAAACAGAGCGCCTAGCTCGACGCTGGAGGAGCTAGAGGGGAGGCCGAACCGTCCAATCCACCTGACGAGGGAAACGTGATGGATTTAACGCCGTTTTGCGCGAGGGGCCCCGGAACGGCGCCCGACAATATATTCCTCTTATTAACCAAAGCAGCGTGGAAAGCGCGTGGAAAACTAAAATATACATCCACGATGTCCCCGCAGATAGCGATCTGGAGGAATGAGGCGGGTGTGGCGTGGTGTGGCGTGGCGCGGCGTGGCGCTGTAGCCGGGATGGCCCTCTGGCCCCCCGTGCGCCTTCCTTTAAAGCCTTTAATTTAAAATGTTGTTCCTGAGGAGTGTTGAGCCTGATGGTTCGGTGTGGACAGCGGCAGCGCTCAGGGGGGCGGGAAGGGAAGGCGGGAGAGATTTGATCACGTTGTGCTTTCAGCTAGCGTATTTCGGAGAGTCGTGCTTGGGTTCGTTCAAAAACTCCTGGACGCCTTCAGGGCCTCGCCCCCCCCCCTTCCCCTCCCATTTATGTAAATGCGTCGACAGGTTTTCGCTGGGCCCGCTGGGCCCACCGCGCGCATATCGTTGTCTCGGAGGCCCTGTCCGACGACGGCGCTCCGCTCGGCTCCCTGTGTTTGATAATTGTTTACCGAGAGGCGCCACGCCGCCTTTTAATTCGTTTAATTTATTTGTCCACGTCGGATGATTTACCGAGCGGCAGCGTGGCGACAAATGCAGCGTCCGTTCCTCTCCTCGACGCGAGACTGCGAGACTGCAAGACCGCGAGCTTGGCAGCGTGTCTCGCGTCGAGTGCGTGCCGAGGCGACACCGCGACGATACGGTTCGTCCCGCTCCCCCGCCCCTCCCCTGCGGCCAATCAGAAGCCGTTGACGGGAGCGCCTTCTTTATTCTAGGGAGTCTACAACATCACTCAGGCCTCATTAGAACTACGGCTCAAGGCGTGCCGTGAATTTGAAATTCGCGCGCCCCGTTACGCCGCCGGGCCGCCGGGCCAGGCTCGCCTCGCATTATGCCTGGAGGCCCACCGTCGCTGTCTCTGTCGCACTCACGGTGTCCCAGGCGTTCCGCGGGGGTGCGAGAGAGACAGAGCACCGTCCGGAATCAGCCCTGGCGGCAGCAGCGAGCTGCCCTTGCCTTTTTAGCCGCGGACTTGCGGCCGCAGAGTCGCCGTCGAAACGTTATTGTACAGTCGCGGCATGAAAAGCTCGGGGGAAGGCTTTTCGGATATCGCGTTTCCCCGCGGAGCAACGAGCAGTGGAGGGGCCGGCCGGAGTTACTGCTAAGCGATTGAGAGGACGAAGGACGGCGACGTGGCGCTAGACGGCATGCCGATGGGGTACTCGCGGCCACAATGGGGGCCTTCACGGCCCCGCCCCCCTGGAGGCTGACAACGGATAGCAGCCGCCCCGCTCCGGCTATGTATTCGGCTATCCGAGGTTCGCCTGTTGGGCAATTTCGCACACTAGAGGATCTGGCGAACACCTCATTTGCATACGATGGGTTGGCAACGAGTGAGTCCGGGGGGAAGCGGGAGGGGAGGGGGTGACGCGTACATTGTACGTACAGGGGTGGACGCCCGAAATGGCAAATGACGACGCAGAGACCCTCTTCTGAAGTTGCACAACATGGACACCCGTCCATTCTGAGGATGTGTGATTATGTGTGTGTGTGATAGTGTCTGTGTGCGCGCGCCCCATTGGTCGCCTCTGCAGCAATCCCCTCGCCGTCCGCCTGTTCGTCGCGGTGGCGAGTGGCGGCTGGTGGCGGCTGACCCCGCGGTGCGGCGGTTCGTCGAGGGCCTCGAGGACGTGGCGGACGTCGCCATGGCCGCGTCGCGTCGTCGCCACGCTCGGGCGATCGTGAAAGGGGTGCCTCTCAAAGTCAGCCCAATCCGCCTTGCCGGCCTTGCCGCACAACGGCTGTCCGCGTTGCAAAGGAACGGGTTTCCTTTGAGGCGGCGGGCACATCGGGCGCGGCGGCCGCCAACGGCGTCCTCGGCCAGGATGACGACGACGGACGACGGCTGTGGAAACCCAACCAGGCGACGCGGCAGTGGCGGCGGCGGATTTTCGGAGTCCATATCTCATTAGCAAAGCCTCTCTCGCACGAAATCCATTTTAAAATGGGGAGGCCTCCGCGGAGGCCGCAGAGGCCGTGGAGGCCGTGCGCAGCCTGGCACGCGTCCAGGCTGAAGGACGCGGACGGTTCGCCGCGGTGGTGGCGGCCCCGGGCCCCGCCGGGTCGCCCCTTGACAACGGACACCGACCACGGCGTGGTCTACGGCCTGCCGAGGCCAAATTGGACGACGGCACGCGAGGGCCTCGAGGAGGGCGCCGTCGTAGCCTCGTCCGTCACCGCCGCGTCCTGCCCGTCCTGCCTCCCGCCCGCGTCTCCGGGACTA